GCCTTTCCTGGAACTCACTTTGGAGACCAGGCTGGCCTCAAACTCACAGAGATCCACCTGCCTCTGCCTCCCGAGTGCTGGGATTAAAGGCATGTGCCAGGTATCTTTGTGGATTTCTGGGGACCTCTCTAGCACTCTGCTTCTTCCTATTCCCATGGGGTCTTCATTTATCATGGTATTTCTTTCCTTGTTCTCCCTCTCTGTTCTTGATCCAGCTGGGATCTCCTACTCCCCTAAGCTCTCTTTCCCCCAACACTTGCCCTTCATTACCCCTTATCACGTCCAGTTTGCTCATGTAGATCTCATCTATTTCTCTGTTTTTGGGTGATCCCTGTGTCTTAGGGTCCTCTAGTAGCCTCCCTAGAGCTGTGAGTAGCAGTCTAGTCATCTTTGTTTTACATCTAGTATCCACCTATGAGTGAGTACATACCATGTTTGTCTTTCTGAGTCTGGGTTACCTCACTCAGGATGATTTTTTAGATCCATCCATTTGCCTAAAAAACCTCACGATGTCATTTTTTTCTCTGCTGAGTAGTACTCCATTGTGTATATGTACCACATTTTATTTATCCATTTTTCAGTTGAAGGGCATCTAGGTTGTTTCCAGGTGCTGGCTATTACAAACAATGCTGCTATGCACATAGTTGAGCATGAGCCCTTGTGGTATGATTGAGCATTCCTTGGGTATATGCCCAAGAGTGGTATAGCTGGGTCTTGAGGGAGGTTGATTCCCAATTTTCTAAGAAAGCACCATATTGATTTCCAAAGTGGCTGTACAAGTTTGCATTCCCACCAGCAGTGGAGGAGTGTTCCCCTTGCTCCATATCCTCTCCAGCATAATCTGTCTTCAGTGTTTTTGATCTTAGCCATTCTGACGGGGATAAGGTGGTATCTCAGAGTCATTTTGATTTGCATTTACCTGATAATTAGGGACGTTGAACAATTCTTTAAATGTCTTTCAGCCATTTGAACTTCCTCTGTTGAGACTTCTCTATTTAGCTCTGTAGCTCATTTCTTAATTGGACTGTTGGGTATTTTGATGTCTAATTTCTTGAGTTCTTTATATATTCTGGATATCAGCCCTCTGACAGATGTGGGGTTGGTGAAGAGCTTTTCCCATTCTGTAGGCTGTCACTTTGTCTTGTTGACCCTGTCCTTTGCTCTACAAAAGCTTCTCAGTTCCAAGAGGTCCCATTGATTAATTGTTTCTCTCAGTGTCTGTGCTACTGGTGTTATATTTAGGAAGTGATCTCTGGTGCCAATGCATTCAAGACTACTTCCTACTTTCTCTTCTATCAGGTTCAGAGTAACTGGATTTATGTTGAGGTCTTTGATCCACTTGGACTTAAGTTTTGTGCACGGTGACAGATAATGGATCTATTTGCAGCCTTCTACAAATATTATGTTCATAGGTGTGTGGATTAATGTCAGGGTCTTTAATTCAATTCCATTGGTCCACATATTTGTTTTTATGCTAGTACCAAGCTGTTTTTATTACTGTAGCTCTACAGTAGAGCTTGAAGTCAGGGATTGGGATGCCTCCAGAGGTTGTTTTATTGTACAGGATTCTTTTGGCTGTCCTGGGTTTTTTGTTTTTCCATATGAAGTTGAGTATTGTTCTTTCTAGGTCTGTGAAGAATTGTGTTGAGATTTTGATGGGGATTGCATTGAATCTGTAGATTGCTTTTGGTAAGATTGCCATTTTTACTATGTTAATCCTGCTTATCCATGAGCATGGGAGATCCTTCCATTTTCTGACATCTTCTTCAATTTCTTTTTCAGGGACTTAAAGTTCTTGTCATACAGGTCCTTTACTTTCTTAGTTAATGTTGCCCCAAGGTATTTTATATCATTTGTAGCTATTGTAAAGGGTGATGCATCTCTGATTTCTTTCTCAGCCTGTTTGTCAATTGTATATAGGAGGCCTATGGATTTTTTTGAGTTAATCTTGTATCCTGCTACATTGCTGAAGGAGTTTATAAGCTGCATAAGTTCCTTGGTCGAATTTTTGAGGTCACTTATGTATACTATCATGTCATATGCAAATAGCGAAAGCTTGACTTCTTCCTTTCCAATTTGTATCCCCTTGATCTCCTTATGTTGTCTTATTGCTCTGGCTAGAATTTCAAGTACTATATTGAATAAGTATGGGAAGAGTGGACAGCCTTGCCCTGTTCCTGATTTTCACGGAATTGCTTTGAGTTTCTCTCCATTTACTTTGATGTTGGCTGTTGGCTTGCTGTAAATTGCCTTTATTATGTTTAGGTATGTTCCCTGTATTCCTG